CACAGTGCTAAGGAAACACATTTAACCGTGTTTTTTAACTCCAAAGGAGCTACAAACAACCTCCACCCCCCCCCCATCCCCTCCAAAAAAAAAAGCGTGTCTGTGGGAAATAAGGAGGCTTGCACTTGTTGCACGACAGTACCTGGACAATTTGGGTCGAATAACCCAAATGCAGCCTTGCTCTTGAAGGAGGGGCTGGCATCCAGCTACTGAAAGGCCAATGGGGGACATGGCCTCAGCACAAGGCTGGGAGAAGTAGTCGGCTCCCAGCACCCTGTCGGGGCAGCAAGGAGCCCCATGAAGCTCAGTGCATCTTGTAGGTGGTCGCATGCTCATTCCAAGGAGCCCAATCTCCTCTGACCATCCTCTGTGGAGGGGTGGGAGCTTGAGGGGACATTGTCCCCAGGTCACTTGGCTTGCAGACAGCGGAAGGGTTAAGTCCTTTGGGTCTGGAGCATGATGCAGTCCAAAGTACCGAGGGCAACTGAAACCTTCTGGCACAGGTTGAATCACCTTTAGATGAAGCATTAGAGCTATGCTGGAAAAAGCTTTCATTTCCCAAATAGACATTTGAGGATTTGAGCTTTTTTTCCCTTTTTTTCCTGACAAAAATCAACTGAAAGGAAAAATCCTGACATTTTTTTGAAGATTTGTGCTTTAAAAAAGGGGGGGTAATCTGGGCTGATGGCATATTTTTTTTTTACACTGACCGTTTGTTTTTAAATGACTATACATTAACATGAATTTCAAACACTAGGCTCGTTTGAAATAGAAAATGGAAATTTTGCTTTTTGAAAATGTTGAAACCACACCTATTGTTTTCTCCTAAATATTTTTTTAAGACAGGAATCAGAAAGCAGTCCTTTCCCACAAAAAGGTCTTGTGTTCATTGGATTTGCATTTTTGACTGAAAGCCTTGTTTCATAGTCTTGAAACTAGATCACTGCGAAGCAGCTTTTATATCTAATTGGCCTCAAGGAAGAAGAAAACTCTGTGGGTGGGATGCATCTCACCTACTTACAGGTGTTTAGTCTAAATTGTTCATCAATAGTGAGTGACATCTCCAAAGGGCTATTTTCACCAATGGTCATAAAAAAATGTCTAGAGAAGCTTACACTTGATATCTGTTGTTTCAGCTGGCTTAAATTAAGTGAGAGAAATGCTGTCCTTGATGTTCACACTCCAAGCTGAGGAGAGAAACTGAGCATCATCGCTCGTAGTATTTCATGCTGAGGCGTGTTGGGAGAAGAAAAAGGAAATGGGTTCTTCACAGGTTTTTCAGAAAGAGTAAGAATTTTCTAAGTGATAGGAAATAAAATCAATTTTACAGGGTACCCCCTCATTTGAAGAATAACTTTGGTTATTCCCATCGTCAGGTAAAAGTCAACATTTTTTCTGTTTTTTTTTTCCAAAATCTCAGTGAAAGTTCCTTTTTTTTTCATTTCTTTCACAAACTAGTAATAGTTAGGGTTATTTTTTGCATTTTTTCCCAGCAAAGTCTTTTAAATCCATTTATAATGCTGTAATGCTGCATGAGAGACAGGTAATATCACCTGTATAAATCCTCGCTTAATTGCCTAAGTTGTGCCTGTGATTGAAGTAAGTTGGTATGGAAATCAAAACTGAGCACAACAGTGCATGCATTTTTTTTCCTTATTGTTTCTAAAAGGAATAGACCTTTTTTTTTTTGTTGTTGTGGTTACACCTGTCCCTTTTTGCAGGGGTTTTTGGCTCCTGTATTGTTTATGCTCACAGAAGAATTTGTGAGGGGCAGAGCTATAAAGCCTTTAGCCTTTTAATTTAAGTTGGTAGTCCAATTTATAAACAAAACTGCAGATTTCATTTCAGAAACTACACTGGATGAAACTGTAGCCTTTCACTGGCATGTTGTGGAAAGTGTATGGAGAAAGTGAGCACAGCAGACTATAAGGAGCAGACATTGCTTTATGTGACAGTCTCTCATATTTGCCAAGTATGAAGTAGAAAAAAACACAGAAAGAGTCCATTGACCAAACCTTGATTACTTTCATGTAGGAAAGGAGCAAATCCTTTGAAATTTGTAGGGATAAACACTCAGAGACAACAAACAATGTTGTGTGACAGCTTATTAATAGCCCTAGTGCATATATGACCAAGTCAGGGTCTGGTCAAAATGTATTTGGCACTATGGAAGTTTGTACAAGTTGAAGGTGTGATGCAAACAATTTCCAGTCTTCCCTGTGTAGCCTTGCAGTCTGCTAGTGGATATATTTTGTTAAAAGTTTCCATAGGAAACAAAAAGCAAACAGCAAACTACAGCAGAACAGCAAAAAGATGAAAATATTGCTGGGGTTCGTTTGGGGTTTTTTGTTTTTTTTTTCAGAGAAAAGAAAAGGAGCAGGAACATGCCTTTACTTATAAAAAACCCCGTTTTTATCCAATATATCTCTGAAAAGAGTGGCTTTTCTCACTGTGTTTATTTGGACTGCTCTTTTTGGTTTTTGCTTTGTTTTGTTCTGTTTGTGCCTCACAGCTGCTTTACTCACAAGTCACAAGCTTTGGGAGATGTGGTTATTCCCAATCAGCATTTCCAACCCGCACTGCACAAAGGCAGAAAGACTTTGACACCAAGAAGGACATTTGCCTGGCAGCATTGTGGCTGTGGTCCCTATCAAAGCATGCACAGAAGGCAGCCCAGAAAAGATCACCCGTTCTCAAACTGGACCTTTGCACAAGACACAACTTTTAACCTTTAGCATTGCAATTCACATTTAACTGTGTGGAAGGGCCCCAAAACATTTTCATTCATTGAAGAAATCCTTCAAATTCTATATATCTGTGTACCAATCTTATGATGGTGAGTAGCTCCACAGGCTCCAGGATTTCCCAGTATTGTACTGGAAAAGCAGTGCTGGAGATTTTCATGAGTGAAACACTGATAGTCTCCAGTTTCCTTTTAGCTGCAACATGGTCTGTGGCAATGCAGTAGAACCGTCTCTTGCGCACATGAGGCTGGTATGGGCAGAAAAGAGATGTGAAAATAGAGTTTTCTATCAGCAGGCGAGAGACTTCAGCTCTGAGCGGGCTTGGGGTAATGTCAGGATGAACTGGCATACCCAAGGGGCAGGATATGGTTCTGTCATACCTAAGTGACTGAGCCCAAGCCTAAGGTTGACCCGTGTCAAGAGTTTGTAGTGTTCATGAAACACTTTTGTCTGTTGGAATTGTGCTTTTCTCTTTTGAGAAACCCTGGCTCATCTTCACATTTCTACAGTCTGAAGTCATCCCACTTAACTCACCCATAATCCAGACATAATCAAGGAACAGGGTCTGGTTCTGAAAAGGATGGAGTTAAATTTCCCACCTTTCCATCCCTCCACCTGCACAGAGACTCACCATGAATTGGCCAGTTGGGGGCCATTGGAGGGTTTGGGGTGTATATGAGGGTGAAGGAACTGGTCTATGTGCATAGAGAGTAGCTGAATTACGCAGGGAGTGCTGCATGCATGGCGGGTGCTTCCCCAGTTTGTTTACTGAAGTGCTAGCCTTATATTACAGTGGAGTTTGTTAGTGTAGAAAGTCTTTGCAAAAAAAGCAAAGCTGAAATTTAGTAGGCCGACTCATCACCTTGGAGAGAAATGCATGAATAAGTGCAGGACTGAGGGTTTGGGCTTAAATTGAAAGGTTAGCTATATTAATGTATTATTCTGACAGTTTATTTTTAAGAGTGGCTCTGCAGCAAGCATGCAAAGATTTTATTTCTTGGGAGTAGGCCTAATGTCGATTCTATTCTCAGGGTAGACACATAATTCCCATTAATGTTAATGGGAATGATTCTTCTCCTTCAAAGGAAGAATAGATCCATTAAAGTCATAGAATATTATTTAAATATGCTTGATTTCATACTGCAATGGGGGTAAGTTGGTAGATATGCCGTATATGTTCCCTGCTGGTCTTGCAGCTGTGCCACGCAGGATAAATCTTGCTGTGATACGAGACTGACTTGGCTTTTGACATTGGATTATATCAACCTGGAAGAGCATTTGTTTGTTTGTCTTCCCTGAGGATGTCTCGGTGAGCTGAATCATGAGGGGTCAAATCTGGCAAAATCAGGACTGCCTCCTAGAGGAGAGCCCATTGGCGATAAAGGAAAAGTTACATGAGTTTGAGACCTGGCATGACCTACATACTATGCAGAGTTAGGAGAATCCATGTTAGGACAGTTTGTTTTTCAGCCTGGTTTCTCATGGGAACAGGGCTTATGCAATCATATCGTCTGTGTGTCTGTGTCTACATCCTCCTCCCCTTCCCTCCCCAATAACTTTGGAGCTTGTTGCTCAATTTCAACCTACTTTGACAGAGGGGTAGAGGTTCCAAAGGGGGTCGTGTTCCTTCAAGCGCTATAAAAATAGGCAGAGGAGAGCAACTCCACAGGAGTCCACAATGCCAGGAGCAGCTCCTGGTCTACGCAGCACAGTTGTCCAGGGTGTATTATTTCTCTTTTTGTTGACACTGACTCACAATGAAATATTGGGTGAGACATTTAAATCTGATGCTTGTTTTACTTTCTTTTTCTGTGAAATAAGGTGCAATTGTCAGTTTTTGGTAATTACCAGCTTCTTAAAAACTCCTGAGTAATGGCAGGTAAATGGGACTGTTGAGATCTGCTGCAATGAGCAGGTCTGGGACGAGGGGCCTGGCTGGACTCAGGAGAGCAGGGCTTTCCAGTGTGATACTGCTAACTTCTGTTATCTTCATACACATCAAGTGTTCATGCTTTAGACACTAACTCAAATAAGGACCTCATTCAGGTCTAGTACGGATCCTTCCTACCTCCTCTCCTTCTAGGAGACACTTTATTAGTGCTGCCACATGAATGCACTTAATTACAAGGGAGGAAATTATGGTCCCACAGACTTCACAGAGATTATTCAGTATAGGTATAGCATTTAATGATATGCAATTAAAACACTGTATATCTAACTCCTAAGAAATGGTAAGTTCAGAGCAGCACTACTTAACACTGAGCAGGTGATAACGAACTCCCCAAGTTCCAAAGGCATCATTTCCAAACTACAGAATGAACTTATTAAGCAAGCTGTGGAAGACAAATGCTATTATATGAATATACAAGGAAAGGCACTAGATAGGAAATTCCTTTGGATGACTGGCTCCACATTACAGGTATGAGAGCTTCTTCTGGCTTATAAATAAAAAAAAGAATGCAATTCTGAATATTTTCAGTGATTTTTGATCTCCTCCCCCCAAATTTTCTTATTTTTGGAAAACAGTGTCACATGATTGCTAAGAAGATAAGAAGAGTGTTTCCATTTACTTATCAGACTTTCCCAAAAGAGCATAAGGAACCAATATTTTAAACATCACATAGAAAAAAATAAATAAATAAAAAACATTAATTAGTGGGCTCTTTGAAGCTACTGCAGGGGCTTCTAGAGGCCAAAAAAAATTCCTTCTAGGACATAATACAGGTACCTGTGGATATGGGTGTCAGTAGGCTTTGCAAAAGGAGAACTCAGACTCAGACTACTAATTTCGTCTATCGCAGATATAGGAATACCTCAGGAATACCTCTGTCTCCCAGGATTCTCTGTTGTATTTATCTGTGTCTTTTGGATTCTAGAAATGATACCTAAAGGTCCAGGCTGCATCTCACCTCAGTGGGAGATGGATCTGGGTTCACCTCTACACACTTGACCCCTTCCTTAAAACTGAACGATGAATTGTTCTATGAGGGGCTCATTTCCATTGCTAAATTCTGTAGATTTGGTACAGTGCACTCTGGAGTGTTTTCTCTATTTCCCAATCAGAGCATCTCCTTTGAAGTCAAAGGAGCTACTGTGATTTTAGCCCTGTTGAGATATTTGCCATGGAAGAAGTATATAAAAGACTGCTGCTCACAGGGTGGGAGCTGCTGGTTTCCAGTTTCTCATTAATTTTTCACTTGTCTTTTATTTCAATGGGTCTACACTATGCTCCACCTTTGGCACAGACACAAATGCTATTTTTTTATGTGGTTCAGTGGGAGGAATGGTTTTGATCATTAAAAGCAAAGCAAAAATTATTTCAAGCAAAATTCCAAAGCCTCTTCTGCATCCGTTTATCTTTCCATTGCTTCCTTAAAGCACTGCCTATTTACTCCCTAGGGTTATATGCTCTAACTGTGTTTTACCACATTTACAGGAGCAGTCACATATGACCAAGGCTAAAATTTAACCTTAATTGCTCACAAGCTGCTCCCATTGAACCCTGTTGGCATGTATGAATTTTATAGTGCTGAAAAGAGCCCAGTAAAAACAGGCAAGTCAGGAGCTTGCTTTAGTTGTGAGCTATCTTTAACAATATTAATTTGCTAAAATCTCCATGAGGAAGACCTGTAACTCTTGAAGGAATGTGTAATTTACTGCAGTCACCTCCTTAAAATATTCCTGATGAGGACTTTGAAGCAGTCGAAGAAGAGATTGGCCTCTAGAGAACCCACCACCACTCCTTGCTGAGAAAGAGCTTTGGAAAGTGAATCACTGCTGTGTGACTGGATCCATGCCATACGCAAAGGATCAATAAAGTTTTATGTACCTTACTCGCAAGCCTCAGATTTTTGATTCCAGGTGTTCACATTAATCTGGGACACAATAGCAGGAAGAAGTTGCTATGGTTGCATGGAGATGGCAGCGCAATCTGGACCGACTGTAGTCAGCAAGTAAAAATAGTTTAATTATCTAAAATAATAGCACTTCTTCAAGCCTTTTTTGCTGTTTGCTTAAATCCACTGGGCACTGATACCGTGTAATTACTGCAGATACATGATTGTCTAGGATCTTCAGTGGTCAATAACACTTTGTCCTATGAGGAGACCTCTGTGATTTTGCCATAGTATCCCATCATGAGCCAACTGGCCGTAGTTAATGAAATGAACAATCTAGGTGTAGAACTGTTAAGAGAAAGCTTAGAATAAAGTTAGAAACATATTCAGAAAGAATTTACTTTTCTTTATTTTTATTTTAGAAGTGTTTGGTCAGAGAAATTAAAACTAGCCCTTAGCTCTTGAGAGCCGATCCTTGCTAGGATTTGAAGAGTTTGCATGTTCTAGTAGGTTCAGGGCATCATTCTACCTCCCAGTTTGCAGAAACTCTGTCTCGTGACACCTGCAACCATTAGAAATGATTACAGGCCTGAGACTGTTGTAACTGGGGACCACGGTTTGTGCTGCAAGCTTTGTTCTGTGGAGCAGTGATTTCCAAACAGCTCTTCAGTCTAAGATGACTGAGATCCAGCTCCCCTACCGGAGATAACTTCCCTCTATAACGTGTGCCTTTTTTGTTTCATCTGACATTTCTATCACCTTTAAGAAGCCTCACAGAGTAGGGGCCATGAGGTTTGGATGTAATTGGCATATGGATGGAGCTTAGGTTTTTTAATACAGAGTTTTTATAAGACTCCTTTTATGTTTGCCTTTGCTCTTTGATCTCCACTTGAAAAACGTTTTTCATGGAGTTTGTTTGAAAGCACAAATAATCGCTTACCACAACTAAGGGCTAGAAAATAGTTCTAGAAAAGAAAGAAAACCAAAGGGAATCCATGAGCTGACAGGGATGCCTTAAAAGATGTTTTAGAAACAGCTTGTAATGGCACATTTTGCAGGACTGTTCATCAAGTTAATTCTCCTGTTGCATTGGCATTCTGGATATGGTAATAACAACAAGGAAGCATGTAATGGATTTCTAAAATGGGAGTGTTTTAATAGATTTTAGTAAATTACATTGTATTCAATACTGTAGTGTTGTGATACGACACTCAGCAATGAAAGATAAAAAGTCGCTTGCACACATACTCTGCGGACCAAGATAAAACACAGAGATTTAACTAATTATGGCCCTGAAAAGGGAAAAGTCTGCAAAGCAGTAAGAAAAAATAAAGACCTATTCCCGTCTAATAGGAATGGGAGCAATCACCAGTGGAACCGGGAATGTGCAAAACTATTTCAGCAGTTCTGCAGTGCATTTGTAGGAAATGCCACCTTTGTCAGCATAGGAGATACTGTAATGAAGGGTAGTCGTGTTGTGGTGACTCAGCATGACTGAAGGTCCAGAAGGCCTTGAAGCAACCCACGTGTGTGCAGAAAGCTGTGGTTATCGTCTTGCTGATCCCGTGGATCTCCGTTGTAATAATCTGGGATGCAGGTGCATGGCCAGGAATAGCCTTTTAAACTAATGCTGGGCTGGGATTTCTTCACTGTGAAACTTCTCAGGTCTCTGAGGAAACCCCCTGGCAAAGACAGACCAAAATGGAGAATATTTTAAAAAATGTTAAAAGTCAATTCTTTCTGTCACTACCATTAACTGCTGTAATGCAGACCGGTTAATGATGGTGCTGCATGAAATAAGACATTAATCTCCACTTGTAATGCAGGAGCCATACAACTTGCTTCAGTCTTAATCTTTTATGAGTTATGGACTCTTCTGTGATTCATAAAACAAATAAATCACACCTCTAAGGCTATCATCTATTTATTACTGCTTTTTAAATGTTCAGGACAGTATAAAAAGGGTCTCTTTTGCTTGCCAAGGATTGTCAGCTACTGAGTAACATTTGGAAACCAGAGTCTGGATTGTGAATACAGCTGGACATTTGTTTTATTTTTGTTCCTGAAGACAGCCAGTTCAACAGAAATACACTCATGGGGCTGTATATGCAGATTTCATCCCATGCTTTTAGGCTATGGTTATAATGAGTGAGGCAGCTAACCCAAAAGATGACAGAAAGCCCCTGGCTTTCCTTCTTAGAAAGAAACAAAAACTAATCAGCATACGGGACCTGCCAAGTTATGAAACTAAGGGAAAAGTAATGGGAAAGAATAATTTGGAATAGCAAGAATCAGAGTAGGACAGACATTGGAATTACTGGGAGAGTTATTCAAACCAAAAATCACAGTTTGACTGGTATTTCATAGCCCCCTTTAACATACTTTGTGCTCCCTTTCGATATTTTGCTCTTTACACTAGAGCCATAAGCCCAGCATCTATTGAAGAAAACTGTCAGTTCAGCAAACATGGGTGGGTTTTGTAAGCAAGCTGGCACCAGACTTTGTTTCTAAAGCTTACAGTGGAAGAAAAAAAGTAAAAATATTTGTTTTTAGGAAGCTTTAGCACTTTCTTCTGGGGTGGCGAGGGGAGAGAGTCCTACTGGTCAGATCCCAATCTGCATCCTCAGATTGCCAGTTTGGCTGGCTTGACTGTTCCCAAAACTGAGTGGGGTCATCGAGGAAAGATTCATTCATTCCATTTTGTGCCTGCAAAGATCCAAATAGCTGTTGTTGTAAGTGCTGATCTTGACTTTAAATTTTAAAAACTAAATGGCCCAGAAATTTTCTGAAATAAATAAATGTAACAAAATGCCTCTAAATTGCAGGAGGTGTGACACATACTCCTTGAAAAATGCATGTATGCATTTGTTATACATACACAAATACATGCATGTATTTGTTCCTGCCCAGGTACACATTTGTAAGTACAAAAAAAAAAAAAAAAAAAAAAAAAGCTTTTTTTTGAGCTCTACCTCTTATTATCTTGTCTGTGGTTTGTTTGGAGGAATTATAAAAATAGAGATCTCCCAGGGCCCTTCTTGAAACTTGCAATAAAGATTTTGTTCGTTCTGTCTATTCTATGACTTCAAAGCTTTGTCGGTAGATTCCAAAAAAGAGCACAGAAACTGTCTGTCCTCTCCAAGAATACTAAAAAGGTATAGAGGCTATACATTTTTCTCGTAGTCAAGCTTTTTCTCTTGTCAGGTGACAAGAGGTGTATCCCATGAGCTCAGTTCTGCTGTCTTTGTGTATGTAGATTCTTTCCATGAAAGTCAGGTGGAATTGTAAAACTAGAGTTTGTTAACCACTGATTTAGTCAATATTTTCCACTCTTTTTTTTTTCTCTTAGCAGACAAAAAAGGTTTTCTATATAAGAGCATAGTATAATAAAACAAATTCAAGAGGCACACTTGTAAACATAGTCCTTTAAGTAAATAAGTACTTTCCTCAAAAGAGGCAGCATTCAGTACAGCAATAAACATTCCTAAATCTCAGGATGAATAAGTGACTGTTGCTCATTTTTTTAGAGGGAAAGGAAGGGAGTGAAGAATTGAAGAACTTTACACGTAAGTTGCTAACTTGGGATCATTTTTACTTTTGATGTTTACAAGTTCCATTTCTGTTAGCTTCGCCCCTGGCTTGGATTGAGGAATCATCTCTAAGGGAAAAGCTATCTGTAGGAAATTTCCACAGCAGGTATACTGAGATATGTGTACAGAATGAATAATTATAGTTATGCAAGGTCCCTGTTAAAACAGCTATACCCTCACGCTTCAGGGTTAGAAGGTATAAATAACAGAGCACTCAGTTCCTTGTTTTCAAAAGAGCAAAATGAACAAGCGGAAAAAATCTGGTCATTAATGACAGCAAAGCTTGCTATGAATGATCATTGTACCATACTTCAGTTTTCTAAAGCAGCTGTTGATAAATGACACCAGAAGGTGTCTTTTGGCTAGGAAACCTGCCCATTTTCATAAAGATTATGTTCTCAAACCCCTGCAATTGTATTATATTGCTCTTGCACCACTCTGTGGAATTTTGCTTTTTATTTCCTACAGCTTCATGCAGACTCAGGCAGTTTGGCCACTTTATTAAACACAAGTATCAATCTGTAAAAAGCCTCTTGATTGTCTAGACAACTAGTTGTGAAAGTCAGCTTTGTTTCCTTGACTCTGAGTCCCTGGGGATACGGACACTGCTCCTTCTGTTCTCGTGTGTCAATACTCTTGGACCAAAATTTGGAACTCTCTCTATTTTTTTCTTCCCTGTATCTGCCAATTATTCTCATTTTGGAATCCAACTGAAAAAATGTTTCAATGCTATTTCTTTATACTTTTTCATTTTTCTTTTTTAATAAATAAATGCCAGCAGCCTGGAGCTTACAAGCAGCCCTACAGTAATAAAAGGATGTACACAGCAGGCAGTACTCAATTTGCAAAAGAAAAACAGATTAACATTTTCAGGTTTCTGAGGGCTTTTTGTCAACAACAGTACATTTAAAAACATCAATCTAGTAGTAATTGCATTATCAGTGCATTCTCGGCTGATTCTTTGTCTGGTTCTCTTAATACTGTGGCTGCGTGGAGAAGTAACTATGAGACATCACTTCTTTAATATGTGTAAAAAGTGATATCCTTGCAGCGGGATCAAGTTGACCTGACTGTATGTAATTCCCATTTCTGGGACTGGAATGAAGTGAATACACAGGTAATGATAGCAGAATGAGCACCCACAAACAGGGTTTCAACAGTTATAAAGGCTGGTGCCAGCTCTTATTCCTGAACATATTTATGGAAAGTACATTGTAAGCTGGCAATGAAAGAGAGCACTTAAAAAAAAATCTCAGCAGAGACTTTAAGAAAACACCATTGGAGTATCAATTCACGGAGTGTTTAACAGATGCTCGCTAGCCGCTTTTCGTGTATAATACCACTGATTGCATCCATGCAATGAACAACATGGAAGCAGACATTGTTCTCCTTCTCCACATTCTCTCCAAGTCTCCAGGAGCTCTCAGACACTGTGTAAGAAACACCCTGAGCGCAGTGGTTCATCAGCACCAGGAAGCCTGTTGCTGCTGCT